TATATATATATATATATATATATATATATATATATACATACTTGAAATATACATAGATATTAATTTGATTAATTAACGCTTCTATTTAAAAAGCCTGTTGCCGCCACTTATAGTGACTATTATTAGGTTCTCTAAACCTTATTATTAATCAAACTTTGCCCATTAAATTACTATTACAAATGTTATTTCTCATATTTTCTCATTTGCTTTTATCGACCTCACAATAAATAAAGAAATTTTACATCATCTAAAACGTAAATATTTATTTAAACGGTTAGTATATATAGGCCTACCACAATTTGTTACATTATTTTTCTGCCATTTGCCTTCAGTTCCAGCGAATATAAGTTTTTCAACAATTTGTAATTACATGCTGTCCTAAAAATATAAAATTGTATTTGTATTGCAATTTAGGGTTTCGTTTGTTTTGGGTATTTTTTGTTAATTTTATAAGGTACAGTTAGTTTAAGCGCAATATTAAGTCATAAGGCAGGCCTCTTAGTAAAAATAAAGTAGGCAGGAGAAATAGCCAATTTTTAATGCTTAATGCTGCCTCTTGCAATATATTATATATTAAAAAAAAAAAAAAAGATTTTACACGGTCCCAGGCGACCAGCAATTTGTGTCTACCTGCCTACTGAAAATATCCGGTTATGAGTGCCTAGACTTTTTGTTTACATTGACTTGCAATTTGTTTTCTATATTATTTATTAAACTTTTTAAAATCCCTTCAAGAGTTTCAAATACCTTTGAGTGAGAATGTTCTAAATTTGTATCACGGCTTGTAATGTATTGAAAGATAAGAAACTTATACAATTTCAATTATGGCCTCCACCAATAATTTTCAAATGCGCAAAGTTATATTCTCCAATAGAATCGGATTTGTATTCAGAATCATTTTATACAAACTGTTTTTAAAAGTGCATCGTCTAACCGATAATTGCATAGGCAAATCCTCTCTTTAAATCATTCAATTTTTGTTTCTCAAAAATAATCAAATACAAAAGGCTTCTGAGGGAATTTAAATATAAACGCATTTAAATGTTTAACATTAAAACAATAAAATTATAATTAAAAAAATTGTATATAAACTTATTTTAAGTTCACTTAAATATAATATATAATCAATGTTGATGTTTTAAAGAGAGTTCATGCTCTGGTTTTTATTTATTATTATTATCTTTTCTTTTTCCAGATTGTTTTTTCCTTTGCTGCAGGTAGTTCTTTGCATAGTTTCTTAAACTTTAAACTTATGAAAAAATATACTTATGTTTTTATTACATTATTTGTTAGAATTTTGTTTAACATATATGCAAATACTTTATAAGACAATTGGTGCGAATAATTACAGGAAAGACATTTAAAGACGGATTTATATATATGTATATGTAAAATAACATTATCAATGCGCCGTTTACCTTTTAAATAAAGGTATTTTTGCACTTCCATAATGTTGCTGATGATATCTCTGTTTTTAGTACACATGACTAAAAATAAGCACAAATTATATTAAGACATTAATTAATTAAAATAAGGTTAAAACTAGTCATACAAATAATAATAATATTTAACATTTAGTCAACAAATATGTGTATGTGGTAGTTGGTGGTAGTGATGATGATTTTTTCGCATAGCAATCAATATAACCCTTTTTTCCCGATCTTCTTAACTTTGCGCTTGTTTGCCTTGGTTTCTGTTATATACACACTTGTCTTCCGAAATTATATAAGTATATTTTTTACATTTATTTATTTTGTTTTCATGCATCCATTGCATGTTTTGAGTTCACCCCTTTCGTTTAGCATGCAGCATCTCCATGAGAAGCGTCTGCGTTGGTGCGCTGCCTGCACAATGTTTTGAGTATAGATGTTCTTCACCGCGCGCGGCCATGGCATGAATTTCCGGTAGTATATTCAAAAGCCTCCTAAATTTGTCCTGAAATAGTTTAAACAAAATTAAACCGCATTGATGAAATCAGACCTCCAAAGATCTTATGCCCAATTTATTGTAAGAAAACCTATTTTGCCTTATTCTAATGCTCTTAAGTTTACTTACATTTACTGAGGGGTAACACGTAAGTGTATAATCTAGTAAAGCAGCCTGAACATTCTCGTGTCCCTCCACAACGGTCTTTTTATTCACAATTCCACGTACATCTAAAAATAATATTCCTATATTTAATTTTCTTACATTGAACGCGGGTTTCTAACAAATAATCACCTGGATTTAAAAGTATTAAGAATTTCATGCACACATAGTCGCCCATATCAAACTTCAGGTCCTGCAGCTTGTTTTGCAACTCATTAAAGTAGTCGCCCAACTGTGGCACTCCTAGCAGACCAAGGCTCATTAAGTTAAAAACTTGTCCGTTATTAAGTTGTGTTTCATCCGGCAAACCGTTGTGTATGCGATGATGCAGATGATCCAGTACAAGCATGTCCGACCAAGAATGCTGTAGCAGCTTCATCTGATCGTCCACCTACAAAAAGTTAAGAAAATTAAAATAAAGTCAAATTAAAATATATTTTGATTTAATACCTTGAGCCCATTAAAATGGGAAATTAGGTTATACATCTTTAAAGCTAGTCGCCAAATTTTATATGTGAATAGAATTTAGATTTTTGTAAAATTTTACCCCCACCCCTCTCCATCACTTTTTAAAATGCGTATTTCATGCATATGCATGTTCTAATCATAACCTGAAAGTTTCATGAAGATGGGTGGCCTATACAATAAAAGTTATTAAGCAATTAAGTTCGCATAGCAAGCCCACAGCTAATGTTTATGCGCCCATGCGTATGCCTGTGTGTGTGCACGTGTGCATGTGCGAATAACTATTAAAATATCAGTTTTTCGAAGGGTTCAGGGGATCTCGTAGTCGAGCCGTCGTGACTAGAGCTTTCTTACTTGTTAATAATGGATAGTGGTTTTAAGATCGAAGCACTCCGATCAATCTCCAAATAATTATGCCACTCCGATCATTAAAAATATATACATATTGGCGAATTACTCAGACTATTTTTTTACTACACAAAACTTGATTTCAACACGCGCTCAATTCTTCTGCTCTCGCTTTCTCTTCTCCTCTCACTAACTCTCTGCTCTTTGCAGTTATGTGAGAGTGGCGACGCTTAGTTGCGTCACCGACAAGCAACGTCGACGTTGAGTCTTTGACTGGTTCAGCTTTGGTTGCTAAGTAGGTCAGACGCCGAATGAAATCGAAATTCAATGCAGATTTAGGTACACGACATCACAGTTGCAGTCGGTCCGCTGTCGTTGCCGCTGCCTCTGTTTCTATCTCTTAGTCTGTCGCTGCCGCTGCTGAGTTTTCGTTTTTTTTTTTTTTTTGCTATTTGTTTTTGTGTTTCTTCGGTTTTACATAACAATTCAGAGACTTGGCCCCTAGTTTAAAAACTGGTTGTAACCATTAATGGCTGCAGAGACTGGCGAGTTTTTTGGTTGTAAGTCGATGAATATACCTAAAACCTAGAATTTTATGCGTGAAGTACCTTTAGGTCCTTAAAGAATACCGTATTCCTTGCCCAATCCACCTGTGAGAAAAGGTTTTGATCCAGCACTTTGCACATCAATTCAAAGAGATCAACTTCAACTTGGTTATACGTCTGCTTTTGCAGTAGCGCAAAAAGTTGAGTCTGCCATTCTCGATCATCGATCGATTGCACAAACTCTCGTATCATTGGCGAGACCCTGCAAAAATGGAAGCAAATGCAAACAACAGGATTGTTACTAAAGGTGGTATCAAAACAGATTTCCCTTCAGTTTCCGCTCACCTCAGGGGTTCTATGACGGCGTCCCCCGTGCTCGATGGATGTGTGCCAGAATCAAAGCTTTAATTTAAAAATAGAAAGAATCATAGATATAAAGTTTGCATTATTTTTATAAATTGGTTATATTCCTAAAAAAAAGTTGTTTTTTATAACCTGACCCCATTGAAAATGGGAAATCAGGGTATAATGATTTTGTTGAAATGTATGTAACAG